CTTGTGATTGGAGATAAGCGTTCTAATAACAACGAATTTGCTGCTGATGTGGTAGAACTTTGTACAGACGTCAATGGAAGCGAAACTGGTTTTGTTGACTAGATAAACAAAAAATTTAACTCAGTTAGCATCAGACTAGATTTAAGGCAAAAAAACATAACTTACATTGTTGATATTCGTCCTTGCATGCATTTTTTTACTATATGAAGATGATGATGATGGTTTAGAAACAGTTAATGAATTTTGTTGCTGCATTGTTGCAGAAAATATCATTTCTTTCATTGTGGCCGACGTTGACATCAATGAAGATTGTGATACTTTCATACGTTTAACTTTTGGTTCGAGCGAATTATCATTATTTGTCTCATTCAACGATGATCGTGTGTGATGAAGTAGCGATGTGGTAGATGATGGTGGTGGTGCTGATAATAGTGTAGCTAACGTCGAAGAATTTCTATTCAACTTGGATGTTAGTACATTATTATTATTAGTATTACTGTTCAAATTTGATTTCTTTAACGATTTAATCAAGTCGGAATGACTATTATTATTAAATATATAGTCGTCCGATTCTGATGATTCACAACTGGAATACAAAAAACAAGTAGAAAAAACGGGTTCTCTATCAACACCGTTGTTGGTGTTCCCGTTTCGTACCGTGTCTGAAATATTTGTAACGAATATTGTAATAATTGTTGTTTAATCGATTCTCGAACCTTGATCATGTTCGTTAGTTTTCTAAAAAACATATATCAATATACAAAGACGTTGTTGGATAACACTTTAGTTTTAACGCTTACACAACAGCTTGAAAGCTCGAACGTAGCTTAAGCATAGACATGTATGCCTGTTCATCATTCTTGCGGTTCTAAAACAAAAAAAGTCAATTTAGTTAGTTGTATCATCGTACGTAAGTTATAAAAAAACAAGTTCTAGTTTTAGTCTACCATTCGATATACTTATATTTCAACAATCAATTTTAATGTAATGCTTCAGATATACTTCCACTAAGAAAGATACAGTTATCTATAATCAGTGCTATTCTCAATTAGTAATCGATGAACTAACATGTGTAACTACGGCAACAAAGAACTTATTGAAAAGGAAAAATTATTTTCATACTTTTCTTGTTGTCATTTTTTCAATACGCCGTCGAAATGCTACATATGGATGATGTTTTCCTTTTTCTTCTTTGACATCACGTTCAGTTAATAGTCTTGATTTTAATCGTTTACCCTACGATTAAATAAACAAATGAACAATAATTAAAACTGTCTTGTTATCTTTTGATGCAAATTTGTGTACCGTTGTATTCCTCCTTTCCAACCAAAAGTCATAAACATTTTTCAATAAATCTTCATCTTCTTTAATTAACGTTTTTGCTTCTTCATACTGTAGTACTGTTCTTCCACTAGAATTTTCTAATTTATCAATTATATCCTCATACTGTAGATGTGTTAAACCCAAACAATTATTCCATTTTTCAAACCATTCAATATCGTTTGCATCCATATCATATTCAGGATACTCCGATTCGAGTTGTAAAGCTGAAGTGAATAAAAATCAAACATACATAGATTATAACATAAAAATAAAAAAAGGAAACAAAGCACTTACGCTGTAGTCGAATAAGTTGTTTAGGTAATTGTACACTAGGAGGATAAACTGATACATTATTTGGATCTTCGTATAAATCTGGTGTTGGAACAGCACGAATTTTTGCTGAACCCAAACGTTGTTGTGCGTCAAGTGCATTTTGTAAGTGATATTCCTTTAAATAATAAAAAGAAACCTGGTAAAGGAGTTCATCAACTATGTTTAATGGGATACGATCATGAGACAACAGAAAAAAATCGTTTCGGCTAATACAGAATTTAGCTGCAATTACTTGCAGAATCATTAAATGCATGCATATAAACATAAGGAGAAAAATTACAGTGCGACACTGCTAGTGTGTACAGCGTAGCATATTGTACTGGATCGGCAACGGTATTCATTGCCAATCGCACGGTGCATCCTCGACATGCATACCTTAAAAGACGCGCCGCATCGGTGAAAAATAAAATGCAACACGGGTGCTGCACCAAAATTGCTTTGAAGGACAGTAATTAGTTTTGTTATAGAATAGATGCCTTTACTTAATTGTATATTAATCAGAGTGTGGCACTGATAGGCATCAGTGCATAGTATCGTATAATACTGCTTCAGTACTTTTCCTGCGAGAAGGCAAAGTTGAAGTCAGAGGTGTAGAATCTACCCTGAGTTTGAAAATTTTCCACGAACAGATAAGGCTTTTATCGGTTGATTTCTTGTTATTCGAAAATTTGTTAAATTTTCCTGTCCAAAAATTCTCCATTTTTTTCGTTGGAAAATTTTTCAAAAATTTCCTGCGTACGCCCGTACACACATACGAGTAGATGTTGCACCTCTGTCAAAAATACATTCGAAATATTACAGGCATATTGCGGCGTTGACATAGACAGATATGGATAAAACAAAACGGTGATTTAGAAATAAAATCTGACACTTTATTTTGTACTCATCCATGCTGGTGAGAATTTATTCTAAGGGAAAGGAAAGCTACATACTAAAGCCGATTCTATCACTCTCTGTCTTTGAAAACGATAGTTTCATACAAATTCTAAATATTCGATTGTCAATGAAGTACAATACTACGGTACATTTATATATCGGAATAATTTTGCTTTTTACAATGTGAAACCTATGCCAATGTCAAAATCACTTTATTTTTCTTTATCAGTATCAATCTTTCCATTTATTTTTTTCACATTTGTCTTTTTTTCTTTCCTGCGTCATTTCGCAAATACTACATTTTGTTTTCTTTCTTCTACCGAGTGATTGAGGGTTGAGCAATATTTATTTTCTAAATCGATTTAACATAGATTTACTGATTGATTCTATTATTCTATTCAACAAAGAGGACGTGAATCTCATTAGAAACAAACGCTATGAACTTTGTACGAAGAAAGATCCGCTTTTATTTAATAAAATCTGTTATTCTAAATAAATGTGTACCAAACATACAATAATAGAAAATGTACGCCATACATCCTTTCTCGTTCTATATACACGTATTTTTATCGGGAGAAAAGTTTTTTTTGTCATGCAGATATGTTAAATAATAATAAAAGAAAATTTTAAGAGGTGGTTTGGATGCTTGCTAAGAGAAAACTTACCGCTTCTTCCTCTCTTTCCATACCAGATACAAATGGCATTTGTGGTACACACCGTTGAATAGAAGAAGCCGGTGTTTGTAAATGTTGTAAATCGTTATTATTATTATCATGTTGATCAATTATCACACGTATACGTTTACTAGGATCTAAGTTTCTTGTACGAAAAACTGGACGACTCATCGCCAGATAAGAATCTAAAAGGAGGCCAGAATAGTATTAATTACATCTCACCAAAATATTGTTAACATTATATAACTAGACAGAGAGAGAATAATATCATATTATTTCGCGATTAACTACACGAAATCTTCAGATCTTAGTTTTGCTCTGCTTGATCACTTTCTTCACATTACAACAGTAAAAATTATAAATTATTACAACTCCTGTATTAATTTTTTGTACAATACGACGGAAAAAAACTAAAGTTTCAAAAAAATAAATTATATCAACAGGCACCACTAAAAATTATTACAAACAAAAAAACAGATGGAATGCATAGATAGGAGTCGTCGTCAATGTTGGGAAACGCTGTAAAGAATTAGTTGGCAATAATCGGACGCGTCATTTTTAAGATGAATGAGTGTATGTATGTGTATCAAGAGAGAAAGAGGGAGAATCTGACTAAACGCATACACATATGAATCGTCCGATTTTTTTTTCGTTCGTTTCTGTTGTTTTGTCTCTATTGTTCACGTTGTGTTAGTGCGCCGTGGCTACAAAAATACTTTTTTCCCTTCGTTCTTTCGTGATACAGAAACAATGTAGAGAAAAACAACGAAATGATGAGTCACACAACGTAGAGAATGACTCATCTTATATACATTATAAATGGTACGCGTGTGTAAAATATATTGTACTAATTTCGAGGCTTAGTTGTGTATATACGTTGTGCGGTAATCAATAATCAATGACAATTGGATTCGTCTTCTCAAGTATCCTACTACAAGTATATTTTGTTTACTTTCTTCCAAGGGCAAGCATTATCTACCATGTGCTGTCTTCTGCAACGTATATTTTTTAGAGTCTTTTCTTGTAGCAGAATAACATGCAAAATCACTTAATTTTTATGCAGCTGACGTGACTATTTGAAGTGAACTAAACAGGGCTTCTTTTATCAAAATCAGTTCATTTATTGCAAACATTCACTTCTATACAAGCAGAGAAAGAGAAGACTCAGTTAGAGAATTAATGCAGAATCTGCGCGATACTCTTCAACAGGATGATAAAACTAAAGAAATATGTAAACATTCAGTTTGCTTACAGAAGCCAGGATACCTTAGTTTACCAACGGCGAACTTTGAAGAATGATACAATGTTGTTTTGGATAAAGAGTATTGTGGTAAACACTACTTCCACAAATAGAACAAAAAGTTCCATCTTCTTAACCCAATAAAATTGAAAAACCCAAATATTCATGTTTTCCGTAGAGAGTTTTCTATTGATGATGTATAACGAAGTTTTCACGACTGAACGTTACGAATCGTACGACATGTTTCAATATGAGAGAACTGTCGCATATCTACTGTTGTAATAGGATTTACACAGTGAATTAAACTCAAGAATAATTCACTAAAAAAAAGCTAGTATGTTTTTCATTTTATTAAGTTTGATGTGCGTCTTATCTGAAAGAAAAGTTATTGAAGAAGGGAGAACAAATTCTACCTAAATAATAGAAAGAAGCTTGCTGAAAGAAATTTAGTTTTAAATTAACAGTGGTGTATATTGAAAATGAATAAAATTAAAAAAGATATGTACTGTTTGTATATTTCTCGATGAATAACGAAAATGGAGATGAATAGGAAACTGCGCAAGAGAAAAAGAAAGATGATAATCAAAAAGTATTGTTTTCTTTGCTACATCGTATATTCTACAATGGCCCATCGACGACATTAAAGAGATATGTACATAAATGCACACGTTGCACAATGATGAAAAAATTAATCCGATAGTGTTTTCCATAATAAAAACAAAGCGAGAAAAAAAGATCAATGTCGTAAAGAAAAAAAATCTAGTGTTCTATCAATTTTTCATCGCCATTTATAAGGATATCTCAAAGAAATTAGAAAGACATGGTCATCATTCATCTTTTTCCTATTTTATCTATTGATATTATGCAACTGAAAAACATGTATATTCGGTCATTAAAGGTCATAGACTAAAAGATCAGAAAATGATAACGATATACCGAAGCATTTCTAAACTTATACGTCTAGTTCTACGTTTGATCTGATTAAAATCGAATTTATATATGACTGACAAATAAAATCTAGTTGTTCACATGTAAGGGCGAATATTAGTCTGATATGAGGTACTCAGAAAAAGCCCTGTATCATTGTCATTGTGTCCTTTCGCTAGATGCGAGTAGTTAGAAGAGGCTAATATGTCAGATTCACGCTTGAGTATGATACGACCTCATCAAATTACAGACGCGTTGTATATCTCACATAATGAAGAAGAATCATTATCATTTCAGAGTTGATGTTCATAAAAAAAAGTTAGCTTACTAATTCGTGTGACACAGTTTTAGATAGTCTTAGAGATCACATTTTTTGTTTTACGTAGATAAAATTGCTCACTATTCGTATGCGCCAAAGTTATTGCTTTTACCATGCCTTATATATGCATGTTAATGAAATTGTTGATACAAATTAGTAGACTATAGTTGTTAATTACACAGTAGAAAGAGGACTCTTTTTCGCTGTGGTTTTCATCTAGTTACAAAATGGGGACTTTACCTGAATTTTACAGCGTCCGATAGGAAACAAAATATTCCTTCTCCAGGGTATGGGTGGTACTACAAGTAATTTGACTTTTATACTAGAAGCATACGTAGATAGTGCAAATGAATTCAAACACGTTGAATTTTCCGCACTTGTGCCCAAGGTAATATTAAAACGTCTTAAACTAGATGATTTTCGCTAAAAGAACTATATATACCTTGAAAGAACCATATGATATGTATATGGAGAACTTTGAATTCGTCTTTAATTATAGCAGAAGGAAAAAGAAAAAATCTTATATTCACTCTATACTCTATGACATATGGTTTTTCTTTGTATATGCTAGCTATTAAAAATTCAAGAGAACTTGAAAAGAAAAAGTCATTAATAGACGCAATACGCTTAAAGATTGTACATAGGAGAGAAGAATATATATAATGTCATTAGAAAATATGGTGTGTATGTATGTATATATTTGCTAAAAGAAAACTTTGTTATTGTTATTCTATGTACTCTATACTAATGAACAAAATCAAGTGAAACAAGAAAACGGAATTCTCGTTCGCACTTACATAAATCAAATGTTTTTGATCTTTACTGCATCCTATTGTGACTATAGAGTAGTATGTAAAGCTCCATTTTTGAACTTTCAAAACATATTTTTCTATGGTAAAACTGTGAAACATAAACCTTAAAACATTTATTATTAACACAAAATGAATTTTCTTATTTATTCGCTTTTTGTACAAACATTTTATTTATTTATTTCTAATTTACATCTGCATTCTAAATTCAATTGCATTCGCATACACAAAAACGTGGTAAAAATAAACATATAAACAGATTAGACGATTTCAAATATAGTTGTGAAAGACAAAATTATTTTACTAGAACTGCTTTTTGAGCGTAAATGGCATATTCACAAAATAAAATAGTAAGAAAAAAATCTTATTTACTGAAGAACACGGGATGATGTAAAAACCTTGTTAAGCAAATATACATAAGTCGATATAGTAGAGAAAAAAAACCTCAACATCAGACCATTAGAGTGGTACATGATGTTCTAATTTTACACATGAACTTTTTTTATTTGTGGATTGTTAAATCTATTAGTCAAAGAGTTTGGTCAGCCAGTCTGCTCGAGTTGATTCTAAGAAAACAACACTTTAAGGGCAAAGTAAAATATGTGATCTGTTGAAACTAGCATAAAAAGTACATTCATTGTTACTACAAAAGATTTGTATTACTCACATATATTGACATTTTATCAGCATTTTACCTCTTATTTCGGATATGACATTCATGTAGAACTTTGCTGTTATTAAATAATTGAACTAATCCACTTCTGCTTCTATACTGTTGTTTTGTACAACATTATGCTTCTTTCATGATCATTTACACGTACTAATATCTGCCCTCAGTAGTTCTTCAAAAAGAAATGAATCAAGATAAGTACAACATGAGAATAATTCTGGAACAAACAAATGATAAACATTTTGTAAGTTTCATCATCATCAATCTCACTTATATGCAATTTTAAGATTTTTGGATAAGCTTCGATATGCAATAGCCGCTAAAGTGACTGAAAATTACAAATGAAGATAAAATTAGTTGTTGCAGAATTAAGGTTCTACATAAAAATTACATGTTCTTGAATTATCTACAACTAAAGTACATGCATTTTGAAATGTCACACACAGTCAAAACAGATATTAAACTCGTAGAAAGAAATCACATTGTTAGTATACGAGAATTTTGGAAGTTTCTTTTAATTATTTAAATGAACTTCCTTTAAGATTAACCAAGTGTATCTAATATAAACGTAAAAAATATTCTATGATATAGATAGGAGGGAGTTCTATGTTTTTGTCATCCTACGATACAAACTATACAGGTGACAAAGATTTTCATGCGTCTAGCAAAAGAAATTTAGAGGACAAAAAACATCAGATTTTTTACTATGCGCAGTAGAGGCTTGCCTATGTACAATCGGCAGGTTATTTGTTTTCTCATCATCATCATTACTACTCTAATTTTTATTATTACTATTATATCAAACACAAAATAAAACAAAATCTTCAATGTATGTGTTTCTTCTTTATTTTTTACTCCGTTTTCTTATAATATATATAAAGAGAGATTTTTTTCTAGTTTTATACACACACAAAATACATAAATGAAGAACAGGACACTCGCTAATTGTGTGTGTATGTGTATATGAGTATTAGAATACGTAGTTCGGAGTGTGTGTGTGTGTGTTTGTGCAGTATACATACATGGCCATTCTTTACATCTAGTAAAACAGCTCGTTCGCTTACAAATGAATAGCGCTTTTTTGCGCTCACAATTTTTTTCTGTTCGAATTTTCTTTTTTTTTCTTTTTTTCCTCGGTCGGCTATCCGCTTTACCTAGCCCACAAAGCACGTACACATATAGGCAAGAGAAGAAACGGAAAAAAAA